TGAAATGCCTGGGAATTTTTCCCTTCTGTGTATTCATTTAAAACACATAGTAAGAGTTCTCAGAAATACCCTCAGGATCATGTGAATACGAATGTACTATGATTGACATCTGAACTCTACCTACTCCCAGTTCTCAAACTGGCACAAGCCAAGCACAGGGCAAGGTCACAATAACCAAAAGAGAAAGGTCATTAAAGTGAACACCAGGCAAATTCAAGTGAAGATGTCCCACCATTCTGTAAAATCCACTGTTCAGATACTCCAGATAGGCCAAGGTAGATACCGACTAGCCAGAACATCCAAAGAGTAGCTGCTGATGGCCAGAAAGCTAAAGGAAGACACAAGACCCCAGCTCATCAAGACTGACGCTGAAACCACAGTGGAAACTGCTACAAATGAGTATCAAGCCACAGTGAGCATTTGTATAGTTCCTGTGAAGGATTCTGGGAATGCCAGATCAGCTATCACAGACATCTGTGCTAACTATGCAATTCCTCATTTCTAATAATTGATTATTTAGGAACTCATTCATTGATAGTTCGGCAGAATTTTGCTAGATTTCTCTTATAATCAAAAATGAAATTAATATCACTTAAGAAAATTCAACTTCTTAGGAGATAAAACACAAATGATTTAAATGTTATTGCAAATAAATGTTCCCATCCCCAACTGATAGTATATTTAATATTTACTTTATTATTTTTAGTTATGTGATGTGGGGCATGGGAATCTGTATATGGGTGTGTGCTTGTGAGTGCTGCTACTCATAGAGGCCAGAAGCACCAGATCCTCCAGGAGCTGAAGCTAGAGGCAGCTATGGGACATCCGAAATGAATGCTGAGAATCCAACTTGGATCCTCTTCAAAGGCAGTACATGTTCCTATACATTAAGCCACTCCTTAAGCCCCTAGAATATATATTTATATATAATTATTTTATATTTAAAATTTGAATACTATGCCTTAAAACTTTTAAAATGTGTCTATGACTAGAGATATAGCTCAGTGGTATAGTCTAACATACATGAAACTATGAGTTCAATCTATTATATCACACTTGAAATATTTTTAAAGTGATTCCAAAGCTGCATTCAAAGGAAAATTCATAGTATCAAATATTTTTGTTATAAGGGGAAAGGAAAAGAATCACATAAAAACTTAACTCTGCAGTTCAAGACATTGGAAAAGAAGAATAACCTTTTTAAAAACTACAAATAAAATGGAGTACAGAATACATTTGAGGAGAAATAAATCCCAAAATGCTCAGGAAAGACTTTTATAAAGTTTATGTGAAAAAGGAAGAATTTATTGTTATATTTTGAAAATTCTTAGTATGTTATTTTTTTCTGTCTTTAATACATGGAGAACCTGAAGAGGTTTTACTGAAGGTAGCAAAGAGAAAGGAGGCATAAGTATTCCCCTTCAGACAATTCATCTTGCTGCAGTTACCAGAGAATTTTCCAGAGGGTGCTTATACACCTGCCTTCTTTCACATTCAACCACCTCACTGGGAAGACACTTCCCCAGTCCCTTCCCTCTGCTTCTCATAACTCACCACTAAAGCTTATGTTTTAACCAAGGCTGCATTTACATTGGGGCAAAAGGGGCAGCCATGTCTTCTGGCTTACTGAGAGAAGGTTGGGACAATACTAGGGTTAAATTTAAGGTAGCAATGGCAGAGGAGGGTTGCTACCTCCTATGACAAACAAACAACAACAACAAACAATTATTCAATTTTGCCAATTAAGACTTGGGATCCAGATGCTGGGGTGAAAGCCTGTTAGCTCAGGGAGGCAAAGAAAGCACCCAGCTGACTTTCTTCCTCAACCAACTTCACAAAAGAAAAAAGAAATTCTCCTTCTCCACACAGTCTCAACAACCCTTCAAACTGAATGTCCCTTTTTTCTATTTTCTGTGTAGCTCTCTATTTGTCCTCCTGTTTTCCTCTTACCCTTTACGGTTTTGCCCTGTGTTCACTCCCTGTCAACTGGTTGCTTGCTCCCCTTCTCGATCTATGATTTTATTTAATCCTGTTTAAAATAATCAGAAAGCTCTTGGATTAAGCATGTGTGCTAGGGCTGACTCACACTATAACTAGAAACAAGTTTCTCCAGTAAATAATATAATCTCAGTGATCAAGTATCCTGCAACAGACAGAAGCACACATTTTAGTGACAGACTAGGACAGACTGAAAGAAAATCTTCAGCAGACCCCCCAGAGGTAGTATCAGGATGCCCTCTGGCTTCTGGGACTCCAGCAAAAGCAATGCTGAAAGAGACCAAGAGAGCCACAGGCTGCAGCTCTTACAGTGGTCATTGACAGGAAGCTGGCCTCCAAACAGAAAAGTGACTGGGTGACTGGCCTCCAAATAGAAAAGAGATGTTATTTTGCAGACATGAGACATAAAACATACCATGACGCCGAAATCCAGCTTTACACCTCTGCCCATGTATCTAGATGCTGTCTTAGAGGAACAAGAAGTGGCAAAAAAAGCAATCTGATACATGGAGTGTGTACTTCAAGAGAGAATGGACATTATCAGAAAGAGTTGCTTAAACTATCACACATGCACACACATACACACACACACAGACACACACAGAAAACACACTCCACCTTACCCAGAACCCATAAACACACACATGTTCAAGCCCCCCACACACACATGTACATGCATACATACAGACAAACACGCACAAACACACATGCACACATGCACACATGCACTCACGCACATACATGAAGGAGTTTGAGAACAGGCTTTTGGCTCCATGTGACCTGGGTTTGACTCTTGGCTGTACAATTCTACGACATCAGGGAATTATCTTGTGTGTTTCAATTTCTCAGTCTATAAAATGAGAACTGTTTCTTTTAGCAGTTCAAAAGCATAAATGAGTTAATAAGTATAAAATGCTTGGATCAGTGTCTGCTACACAAGAAGCATTCAAATGGTGATGGCTACTCTTATTGTTGTTAAGTCAGTAATAAGGAAGAGCAGACCAGACACCGAGAAATGAAAAAAAATGCCAATTTCTCTACATACCCAAGCAGTAGTGAATTACAATTTACTTCCCTGCTCCATGAATAATAAAAATCATGAATGAGAAAAATATAAAATAGATCAAAGGACAAAAATGTTTTTTGTCACAAACACAGCAGTCTGGTTTAAACAAGAAGAATCTTTTTTTAAAAAAATGGACCATGTTCAGTAAAAATATGAATTGCCAATATTAGTTCAAAAAGTATGGCAAGTATATCCTTCAAGAGAAGGATGCCAAAAAATAAATTCATTGGTGACCTCTAGAAAGACCTGGGACTAGACAATAAGGAGTCTGTGCTTTTGAACTTCCCCAAAGGAAAACCCCAGGATGAACAATAGTTGAATGACTGACTTGTAGACAGAAGGCCTCTCAACCTCATTTAATAAGGAAAAATGCTCCTTTCATGTACATTGGGCAAAATCAAATACATAGCAGTCTTTTTATCAAAAGTTTCATTACTCCAGAATTTCCTAGTGTCCCTAACAGACTCTGGAATTCCAATAAGGCACCGGTAGCAGCCTGTAATAGTTCCTCAGTGCAGAGTTTCTTCCAAGTACTTCTTGATCTTTCTGAGGATCAGGCCTACAGCAATGTCCACTCATGTCACAGAAGATTAAGATGGATTCAAGAGCCAAGAATATACAGAAGGATGATGAGAGAGAGAGATGGGGGAGAAGGGGAACAGTATACAAAATTGCCATCATAATAGCAGAGCAGAACAGGATGCAGCATGCTCCAGAGATGTGTGGAAGCAGAAATTGATTCAACTCTTCTAGGAAGCAATTGGAAAGAAATGTGATTTAGAACGTTAAATGAAGGTTCATTTTGACCTAATAATCCAACTTTCTATCAGTCCTTCTAAGGAAATGAGTCTGAAATGAAGATAAAGATTTACATACAAGGATAGACTTAATAGAATATCTCCTAGCAAACAAAATGAAATGAAGGTTGGAAAGCATTTAAATGAGTAAAGGAGAAATGATTAAATAGACTACAGGATATTAATATGTGAATAACTAATAACAAGTAACATTGCTGGGAGGTGATAAAATCATATTCAGGTCTATGATCCTTTAGAGGAAAAAAGATTACACACAGCCACAAAGTACAATGTCACATGTATTTTTCACATATAGGAAATAGACATTACAGAGACATAAAGCAGTCCCAACGTGAAATGATACTTGGGTGTGGGTCTCTGAGTTAATATTAGTTTCTTTTATGTATTTCCCAGATGTCTTTCTGTATTAAGTTGTGCTATGTCTATAATCAGAAGAATAGATAGCCAACAATTACTGTACATTAATACACACCCATAATAAGGAAGAAATGTAAGTCCTCGATCATCCAGGACAAACACACAGAAGAATTGCATTTCTTCAATATCAACACATGCACTTGAAAGCACAGAAAACAAAACTCACCGACCAAATCCCTCAGTAAAGATAGGTGAGTGGCTTTTGTGGGGTTTTCCACACATCATTATCTACAGAATTCAGTACCCATCTTTGAAAGTGTAGCTGTTTTAGTGTCTTGGTTGGAAGAATCTGACATGGAGAGATATGTTTTAAAAGGTTGATGAGCGTAGTTTCTCTCTCTCTCTCTCTCTCTCTCTCTCTCTCTCTCTCTCTCTCTCT